AATTGACATGAAATTCACGTAAGTATAAGTGTATCTGTCAAACGTACAGTTCCAGAAGATGTAGCAAATATCTTGGAACCATTTGGAAGGGTTATGGGTATTAGTTTAATTTGGGATAAAGAATCAAAATGAGAGGATAGATGGGTTATATGATCTGTTGCACCAGTATCAATAACCCATCTAGATTGAATGTTACCTATTGATGAAGTAAATGCATTGTTAAGGGATGTTGCTGTTTATATGTGATTAGAAGCATGTGTTCCAGTGTTTACATCTCCCATTTTTGATTGAATCAACTCAAGAATTCTCTGATATTGAGTATCAGAAAAGACATCAGCTTCTTTTACATTTTCTTCAGAATTCTTGATATCATCTTGTGTAACAAGATTTACAGCTCTTGATGTAGCAGCATTTCTTTGCTTAAATCCAGGTGGATAACCATGTTTCTCAAAACAGGTTTCCACAGTGTGGTTGGTTCTTCCACAATGAGTACATAGCTTGGTTCTTTTCCCTCTAGCATAGCTGTTTCGACCTCTGCCACGACTATTATTGTCTCCACCACGATTAAAATATCTGTGTGGAAACATTTATAAGCAATTTTGAATCTTCAAAAAAATCAACAACATGTGAGTCAACTTTTATTTTCCTTTCCTGTTGAGTAACTAAAGAAAAAATTTCATTTACTGATGGAAGAGGTCGCATCAGCATAATTTGTGACTTGACATTTGAGAATTGTTCATTTAATCCTCTAAGAAATCTTATAGCACAATCTCTTTCCTTTCCATCTCGTATACGATTGGACAATCCACAATTACATGGAATGGCACAAAGACATCTAGGGAGAGGCTGCAAAGTTTCAAGTTCATCCCATAATGTTTTCAAATGAATAAAAAAATCAGAAACTGACCTTTCTCCTTGTTGAACACGATAAATGTCTTCTTGAAGATCTGTTATACGAAAAATATCTGCTTGAGAAAATCTTTGTTGAAGATCTCTCCAAGCATCTGTTGCATTTTCGATCCACATGATCGATTGTACAATTGACTCACTAACTGAACGATGAATCCATGAAAGAATCATTGTATTGCATCTTTGCCATGCATCATACATTGGATTATCTTGGTTAGGAATTGCTATAGTGCCATCTACAAAACATAGTTTATTCTTTGATCGAAGGGACATCTTCATTGCCCTTGACCAAGAGTGATAATTATTTCCATTTAACAAAGAAGAAACAAGAACAGTTGATGGGTTTTCACCAGCATGAAGAAAATACGGATTTGCTGGGTTCGTCAGGTAATCAGGAAGAACATTCGCCATTGTAAAGAATAGAAATATTGAAAAGAAGATGATTGAAAAAGAAAGATAATGATCAACACACAAGATGAATACCAATGTTGAGCTCTGATATCATATTATGGAATGAGAAGAATTGTGAATTCATTATCTGAATTGAAAAGATACAAGAAAGCTAATATATAAATCAGCTGATAAAAAAGAATCTTGAAGTAAAAACTAACTAATTAAAGAACAAAATTAACTAATTCTTGATAACAGAAACTAAAAAAATAACTAAAAGTTAGTTATTGCTGCTGTGATATAATTAACACTGATACTCTCAAATGTAAAAATTAAACTGAGTTGAGTGAGCTGCATTGCTGTATTCAGAAGCTGCTATATCACATGAAATTTTCTTTCACATTTTTTTCTCTCTCAGCCAAATTGTAAGAAATTAAAAATAAATAACAAACAACCACTCAAAGTCATTAGTAGGAATCAACATTTCTCATTAACAAATTCAATTTGTATCCCTGATACTGTGTTTCTTCAAATTATGATAATCATAATAGTGATTAATATTTAAAATTTTATCATTTGATGTTTTAATTAAAGATATTCATATTTAACTCAACTAGCTCTCATAAAAATAATGAGTTAATTTAGTTCAAATTAAATAATTTTTTCCCAGAGTATCTAATTAGGATGGATTGAATTTGCAGGTTAAAAAAAATGTAAACAAAATTTTAGCATAATATTTGATGTGAAAACAACATTCATCTAAACACAAATTCATGGATAATTGTTACAAATGTATATTTAAATAGAAGTTCAAATCCACAAGAATTAGGGTTTCACTTTGTTACTCCCCTCGAAAAAATAATTAAGTCTCAACTAGGGGTGTTTACCTGTTATGAATATAATTATCGGCCTGTGGCCTGACTTATTTACAAAAAATTAAAGCCTGATTTAGCCTGTTAGCCTATTTTAAGAAAATAAAACAACAAAAATTTATCCAAATAGAATATACAATCAACAGCATTAGTAATTCCATAAATATTTATAAATTCAATGTATATTCAAACATCATAATATAGAATAAAATTATTCAAAAAGTCTATTTAACCAATAAAATGGGGTGAAATGGATTGAGGAGAGAGAAAAGACTATTACAAGTAGTATAAAAATATAAAATAAAAACAAAAATTAATATATTAGGCTAGCCTGATAGGCTCTAAGGTCGAGCTTTTAAATTGGAGCCTGATACATTTTTATTAAACGAGCTTTTATACATCTTCAAACTTGGTTCCAACAACCAATTTCAGGCATGTAAGCTCAGGCCTTCACGAGCCGAGCCAAAGGCTCCTGATTCGTTTATCACCGCTAGTCTCAACCAAAAGCACGTGCTGGTCAATATTTTTTTTTTTTTGGAAAACATTAAAAATTCCCTATAATTTTGCTTTGAATCAGTTACCTCTTTATTATTTTTTATTTTTTAATCATTTATCCAATTCAACACCGCTAGAAACTTAACTAATTTATTTATTTTACTTTTCTTAGAAGAAGAAAATAGAATGATGAAAAAAATATGTTAAAAAATTACAACACTCACTGAAAAGACTAAAAAAATGAAAATTAGAAGAAAGAATAATCAAATATATCTAAATCAAAAAGAATAAAATAGACTGAAAAATTAAAATACAAAACAAGACCAAATATGTTAGAAATTTATAGCAGCGACATAAAAGACAAAGTAAAAAAATGTCTTAATCAACAAAATAAAAATAGACCCAAAGACAAAAAAAGATTAAAAGAAAAAAAAGAAATTAGTGTAGTAAGTTTGCAACATATTTGGTCTCATTTTTTTTCTATTTTTTTGTCATCGGTTTTTTTCTTATTTTTTATTTAGATATATTTACTCTTTTTTTCTTCTATTCTTTTATTTTTAGTATTTTAGTATTTTTTATCACTATTAAAAGAAATAAAAAAAGATAAAAAGAAAATAGAAGAAAAATAAATCAATTTTGTAAGTTTACTACATATTTGATTTTTTTTCTATTTTTTATTTTTTCCCTTTTAGTCTTTTTTTGTTGTTGTTGATAAACCACATGTATCATTTACGGGAGGCAATCCTATTCAGGGCGGGTGCAGAATTAAGGATTTAAACCCCTCAATATTGGAAATGATCAAACACATGCTCTAACTGCCACTACTAATTTTAGTATTTTCTATTACAATTAAAAGAAATAAAAAAAAAAAGACAAAAAAGTAGAAATTTTCTATTTTTTGATTTAGACATATTTGGTCTTTTTTCTTCTATTTTTTTTTTTTTTACTTTTACCCTTTTCTGTAAGTGTTTTAAAATTTTAACATATTTGTCTTGCATTTTTCTTTTATTTTTTTCTTTCTTGATATCAGTCTATTTTTTTCTTCTAAAAAGAGTAAAATAGGTAGATTAGTTATTTCTACTGACGTTAAGAATAGATTTGAATGGAAAAAACCATAAAGGATAAATGATAAAAAAAATAAAGGGTTAAGTGATTTAAAGCAATACCTTTATTTTCAATTAAGGGAATGTTTGAACTTTTTTTTTTCCTTCTTCTAAAACTCTTGAGTTGAAATACTTTTAATTTGAATATCATTATATTTTCAATTAAGCTTTGTTTGGAAGTTTGGAGAAACGGAAGAAAAGGAATTCAAGGGAGAGGAAGGGAAAAGAAGGGAAGGAAAATGAAAGGTATTCATTTTTCTTGTTTGGGAGTTAAAATTCCCCAAATTGAAAAAACTTTAATTTTAAGAATAAGAAGGATTTTGGAGAGTTTTGTGAAAATCCTCAAATCCTTTCCTTCACTTTTTTAAGCTCACAAATAAGGAAAAAGATTAGTAAAATCCTTCCACTCCTTTTATTTTCCTCTTAAAAATAACTCCCAAATACACCCTTTTATCAAATGATAACAAACTTGAAAAAGAAAAACAGGTGAATTCAAGGGTTATATTATAAAATTATCTTTTATAATAAATCATGGCTCATATGTTTCTTATTGTAGACGTGTTCGAATAAAACATAATATAAAAGTCTATTCTATGTTTAGTATATTTAAAAATTAAAATAAAATAAAACATTATATAAATTTAAAAATTGGTACAATTCAATTTCATGAAAAAGAATTAAACAAAAAAAAAGAAAGAGAACAGAGTTTTATTTGTATGTGAAACCCTACCATAGAGCATGAAGTATCAATAACAAGCTTGGCATTGTCTACCAAAAAAAATAACAAGCTTGGCAGCTGCCAGCAATACCCTCTTGGGCTCTTGGTCACAATATGTAGTTCTCAACCCATAGGGCTAAACACATACATATAATGAACTTTTGTTATAAACTATGGTTATGAACGTCTCATTTCTGCCAATGACAATTGATTTAACTAGTAAAAGTTAAAACATTTAGCTTAAAATCATAATTAGGTTCAATTTGTCCGGCTAATATGTAGTCCTTATATTAAGGATTATAGCTTACCTTAATCTTATAAGGGACAACCTCAAAGTCCCCAATTTACAAGGTAAATCATACAAAGACACCAAATGTGTGAATAATAAAAACACAGTCTGGTATTAGGTGCTTCAGAGTTAGAAGATGACGGTAACAACCAACAACCACATGTTCAAGTGATACGGAGTTTGTTCCCCTTAATAAGAGGTTTCGAGTTCAAGTCTTGGGAATGGAGAAAATGATCTTGGGAGAATAATCCCCTACAATGGGTCCAAGAGTGCTCCAATTAGATTAATATGGTAATCCATGAACTAGTGAATATATCAAAAAAAGAAAGAAAAAGATTATGGTAACAATATATACAGACACAATAAACTCAACCGACAATAAACCATATTTTTGACATTTTTTCTTGTATGATATGCCGGAGAAGTTGTAGATCAAGATGTTATTGTTATTTCAAAAGGGAATCCATGGCTTCCGCCACCTTTTTCCTTAGAGCATCCAGAGACTCTATGAAATGAAAAACTTCTGTTTGCTCCATTTCTAAAGACATTGCAGAAATATTTCCTGCATGATCACGCTCAAGATGCTTTACAAAGGGGGATTGTTCACCCAAAACCTGCCACATGAAAAAGATAAATTCAGAAACATAACAATTATGATGGAGGCCTAAGCACACCACCTTCATGCAAGAGTCCAAATACTAAAACAACAAAGTTGGTCATCATACTTCAGCTATTGTTGATATTGCCAAAATAGTTTGCAATTTTTTTATCGTAGGTTTTGATTCTTGATCTTGTAATGGTCTGAAAATTTCGTTGATTTCAGGACCAAGGCCATTACCAAGCATGAAATCCGCCTCATCCAATACCTAAAGAAATATGAAAAACACAAGTGTGATCAATGCTAGGAGCACCCAAGAACTGGTAAATGGTAACCTTAGAACCTTTACATAGATTCTGACACTAAAACATTGTAAGGGATACTAACCAAGTATCTTAATTCAGCAGGAACAACACTACCCTCTTCAATGTATTGAAGAATCTCACATGGAGTTCCAATCATGAGGCCGATTGAGGCATTTGAGTGCTCGTTATCTGGTGAAGCACAATCCTTAGCAGACTTCAATTCTGCATTATGGATGATATATTTTGCAGCATTAAAGCACTGCAATGGCCATAAAATTTGCAAGGGTCAAGATCGATCCATAAATTCCAGTTGCATACTCTACAGCTATGAAGCACCGATATTCCGAAATTTTTTTTTCCCAACAAATCGGATATGCGTATCGGAAACGTATTGTATCGTATCGACGAATTAACGGTCGTATCAAGAACATATTGGGAACGTATCGAAAACGCCGTATCGGAGTCGGTGTTTCGTAGCTCTCTACAGGACTAAACAGACAAGATGATGATAGTAGGTACTAGATAGTAGGGATAGAGTCACCTGTCCAGCTTTCTCCTCTGTAGCACAGAGCACAATGGCCCGGGGATGCTTTGAATTCGAACCAAGCAACTCTCCATCCCGTCTCAACAGCTACACAAGTTAACAGATTTAATCCATTTTTTTCACCAGGAAAGAATGAACATGGAAGAAAGAAAACTGTAAAACTAGAAACCAGTTCTCCTCTCTTGTCTAGATGTCATGAAAATTCAGATAAATTAATATATTACTAATTGATGATTTATAAATACTACAAAATTCAACCTTATTTTCTAATTTTCTTCTCACCTCACTCTGTTTCAGAGAGAATGTTCTTGGGACAAACGAGGTGCAATAGTTTTCTACATTTTGCTTCCTTCCACAATCTTCTTACCTTCCTAAACAATATAATACGACTTTTACTCCTAACCTTCTTTTCTTCCAAATTTGTTCTCCATCTATTCACCAATTGTAAAAAACATATAAGTGAATAAGAAAAAATTCAATCATGCTAATATTGTGATCATGTTGCAATTTTAGGTATCTATAAGTACCATGTTTTCTGAAGTTGTCATCAGGAACACTGGAGAATATAGATATTTTGTAAATTAATTTAAAACAATGATGAAGGGGAACCTTGGCACAACAGTTGGTACTGTGGTCATGTGACCTAGAGTTTAAAAGTTCGATTCATGCAATCAGTCTCTTTTTGCTAGGTTGCCTATTGTAAACTTTCCCTAGATCTTGCAAAGAGCAAGAGCTTTATAGTACTAAGTGGCCCTTTGTCCTATTTTAATTTAAAGCAAGGATTCTAAGAAAATTATTAACCTGATCATAATAAGTGACTTTGAAAATTTATTTTCTCTTAGTGGAATACTATAGTTGACAATCAATGCTATATATATAACAGAGTTCAAATAGATCAGACAAACAAGAAGCAGAACAGATTCGGAATTTGGTGCTGAAAAATGCTGGGAAACATTACATGTGATTATTATATATAAAAAACAATGATTAGGAACCAATATAGTTAAGGAAACCATTTTCACTTGACATCATCTTCTATGAAATAAAATACCATGTTTTTCTATCAAAGTGAAACCCCATACCAAATTAAACCATGAAATTTAAAGCCAACTTGCATTCCCAAATTCCACAATCTTGTATCCACCAGTCTAAAGAAAGTTGCTAAGGCTCAAAATCCTTGAAAGAATAAGGTATAGAATTAGATTAACCTGAATAAGGGGCAACAAGTAGGCCAAGGTTCTATCAGGTTGAGATGGTGAACTCAACAACACACTCTTCCCTTCCAAAATAGATGGAATAACCACACATTGTATCTCACTTGGAACAAAATCACCAATCCCCTCCATTACCTCAACAAGCTCCTCACTCATACCCAACTCGTTAAAACTTGCAACCACCATATCAGCTTCATTCTCATTCTGAGAACCCTTTTGGACCACCTTCTCAGTAGTAGTATCGGAACTTGATGATGGTGAAGTTGAAACTTGGGGTTTACCCTTTGAGTCTTTTGAAGACCCTTTGAGTTTCTTTTGTCTGAACTGTTCCAAAATCAGTGAATCCCTTTGGGACTTGGATGATGATGATGAAGTATTTTCTTCTTCTTGTTGAACAGAAGGGGTTATGTGGGAGGAGGAAGAGATTGAGAAACTGGTACTCCCTTGAAAACCAGAAGTGGGTGATGGTGATTTTGCAAGTGGGTAATGCTTCTTCACTGGGGAGTGCAGAATATAAGAGAGGCTAAGAAGCGCTCTGCCTCCTCTTCTCATGGCTTCTCTTTCTGTCTGCTTTTTCTTTGAGTTCTTCTAATTGTAGAAGGGGGGAATAGGTGCGAGTTGGGGTTTCGCTGCTGGAAGCCAATATAGGATTTAAGATGACTTTATTTTTTTTTTTTTGAGTAAATATCCTTTTTCGTCCTGAAAATTTTCACGAGACACAATTTAGTCCGTAGGTAAAAAAAAGTCACTAATTTTTGAAAAAAAGGGACACGTTTGTCCTTCTGTTACATGGAACGTGACGACCCACTTGACGGAGGCCAGTTGGGATATTAAGTGGCTGAGTCGCTAACGTCACAGCCACGTCGAGCGAAAACGACGTCGTTCAGATAGATGCCTTGTGTCTAGTTGGATGTTTGGACAGGTGACCCTTGCATGAAAGGGTTAGTGACCCAATATAGTCCCTGTCAAATTAGGAACCCTAAATCAGCCTAAACCATGAACTAAAAAACCCCAAAAGCTCCCCACGATGAAGATTGAAAAGAGTGTCAAGTAGAAGGTGTTTATTGGCTATTTTCTGGTGCATATAAGAAGATGAGTATGTCATCTGACTTGGGGGATCAAGTGGGAGTACGTCTTTTGGGTGTAGAACAACCTCACGGGCTGGCGGTCGAAGGTGCAAATGTGGGAGGCAAACAATCGTTTATACCTCCAAAACAGAGAGAAACCCAAATAGGGCATTCTTTGGGTGCCCTAATTTCAAGGTATACATTTGTAAATTGAGTTTTGATAACTTGGAATATTTGTTTACCGTGGTTTGTAATTTTGGCAGGATAAGAAGCCCTTTTGTAATTTTTTTAGATGGGTAGATGATGTATGTAATGAAAGGCTGGAGCTTGAAGATGGAAGAATCAACAAGGTGGAGTTGGATGTTGCTGAAATGGATTTCAAGCTGAAGTATGTGGACATGATGATTAGTGACCAATTGCAAGCTAAGTTGAATGACCAAGGTGTGAAGATTAGTGAGCAAGAACTGAGTATCAAGGTGCAGGAAAGAAAGCTGAATGAGCTATACCTGAAGATGGTGGAGGAGTTAGATAGGATGGACAAGGAAATTAGGCATGTTGGTAGGGCAGCTAGGGTCTTAGTTGCTGCTTGTGTAGGGTTTTTGATGATTTGTTTTTTTATTGCAATTCTTGTAACAATGAAATGTAGTGTACGAAATGTTTTTTTTCTTCAATGAAATGTAATGACAATGTAGTTCTGTTTTTTGATGATTAAAGTTCAAAAGATGCTATGATTATATGGCTTTGTATTTGTGTTTTTTGTGCTATAAAATGTGTTTTTGTGTATACTGGTAACTTCATGATATAATACAGTATATGTCAATAGCAATTGAACAAAGTTATGGAGTAATACAGCCTATTCCCATACATCATATGAAGTTTATTCCTGTTATGATCCCACTGTCATGATGGGGCATAATAATTTTTTTCTGCATAGTGAGGGTGAACTGATGTTATGTGGTGGTGCATGGACATTACAGATAAATGACAGTTGGATGTAGTGAAATATCCAGTCAAATTGTTTGTTGCAAATGGGAATTTGAGGAGTGGACATTGGTACCTAAGGATGAAATCTAAACCCCAATTTGTATCGGGGGCCAATTTGGTCCTTGACAATCTGTATCGGGGGCCAATTTGGTCCCTAACGTTACAAAATGGCCATGAGCTGTTTAGAGCAAAAAAGGTATTGCCAGTAACACAAACATTTAAAATTCTCAGTAGGACCAAGCTGCATTGAATACCCATGACACATTGGATTGCAGCATATGATAGATTGCAGCAAATGACAGTACATAACTGAATTCAGCAAAGAAACTTGTAGTCAAAAATGCAGCAAAAATTTTGAGAACCGAATTCCCAATGCAGCAAACATGACCTGAAGTGAAATTAAAGTCAAAAATTTGACAGTACACAAACATAATGCAGTAATACCAACCCCAAACATTTACTACACATAGCTAAGAATCAAAAAGACTCACACAGAGATTCAAAAAGCACCATACAGAGACAAATTACTGCAAAGGGAACAAATGATATAAAAAAAGGAACTTGTAGTCAGTGAAAGAGGAACTTGTAGTCATTGAAGGATGAACTTGTAGTCATTTACATTCTAAAATTACAGGACTGCCAAAAAGAGAACTTCTAGTCCTTATAAACCATTCTAAAACATCCTTCAAACTATTCCCCCATTGGCCTATTTTGCTTCAAAATACACCCATTCAGAGACATATTGTGATTCAAAAAAAGCAAGTACTTCACCTAAAAGCCTTAAATACAAAAAAAATGGGGGTACAACTGACAGTTCATACAATTCAAAAAATTGGTTACTAAGGACCATTGTTGCCTATATAACAAAAACTGAACCCCTATATAAAAAACTGATCATGTTCATTCAAGCTTGTCTTGGTGGCCTAAACCAAGGTGTGGCCATGAATGCCATAAGCCTGCTCCTTGTGCCACTGCTTGTTGCATTGAGGGTTTCAGTTGACAATTGTACTGCTGGTGGTGGGGCAGTAGGTGGTGGGCTGTTGACCCTAATGGCTTCCTCAGCTGCCTGGGACTGCCTTGAAGGTTCTCCTTGACTCAGAGGGATCTCCTCTTCATGTGTTGTTGTTATGTTGACATTAACTGCATGTGAAGGTACTGCTTCTCTCCTCCCTCTCTTGCTTGCAGCTGGTCCCTTACAGGTCTTGGCATAGTGACCAGACTGCTCACATTTAACACACCCCCATGATGATATCTCATGACTATATACTCATCCATCTGCATATAAAACAGAACATTATAATTTTTTACACTACCTTAATATTATTTTACAGTATCATACAACCAATCAATTATTATCAATATTACTATAATACTGTAACAGTCACAGTTATTTTAAATGCCTGCATTGCTAAAAAATTGGGAGTTTTTTGTAATCACTACACATAGCAACTTAAAATAACAACAGTGGGATCACATGCAACACGTTCCTAAAATATTCAACCAAAGGGGACCACATAAAAAAAACCCTAACCATCTCTTGCCCTAAACCGCACATGGGGGACCACATTAAGCAAAAAGACAATGACCAAAAAGGAAAGGGGGACAACAGATAATAAAGAAAGGGTTTCTCTCACGTACCTTGCACGAAAGTCACCACACTCACAACCGTTGTTTTAAGGATCTTCACACTAAATGCTTGCAACTGGAGAAGACACGTACACCAACAAAGCACCGTAGGTTAAAAAGGAGCTCGCGAGCGGAGGAAATGGCGGGTATGGTAATCACTACTTGTTGTCTGCCTGTGTTCACTGAGTCAACAACAAAGGATCAACAAGACTCTCTTCATCAAACGACGTTGTCCCCTTCTACTCACCTGAAACAACCTTTGAATCAAATACGACGTCGTTCCTTTCTCTCCACATGGCTGTGACGTTAGTGACTCAGCCACTTAACGTTCCAGCTGGCCTCCGTCAAGTGGGCCGTCACGTTCCATGTAACAGAAGGACAAACGTGTCCCTTTTTTTTCAAAAATTAGACACTGAAATGTGACTTATTTTTACCTAGGGACTAAATTGTGCCTCGTGAAAATTTCCAGAGACGAAAAATGGTATTTACTCTTTATTTTTTAATGCTAGGCCATAGTGTTTTACAACTCAGACCAGTCATTCGGGTATTGGGTCACAGGTTTAGCCAGGTTGAATCAGGTTCAACCGAATTTACTGTTCACATATTAAAAAAATAAATATATTACTTATATTAAAAATTCACATAAGAAAATTATCAATATATATTCCTCATTTTATATGTAAAATGTTTCTAATTTGGTTCCTCAAAAATAGTTAATTGGCTACGCTATTATAAAATATGGATATTCAGTTTAGTAAAGATCATTGTCAATCTGTTAACAATAACCTGATTTTTTAAATCAATAGAGCTCTCAAAATATTTCCATTGATTTTTTTCTCAGAAGCACGTAGGTGTAGGTAGGTAATGACAACAACAATAATTAATAATAATAACTTAAGCAAATGAAAAATTGCAACAGAGAAAAGACAAAATGCCGGGTATTGATTAATAAACCAAAATTATCAAACTAGTTGTGGGAGCAGATTGAGTGAACAGAATCCCAATGAGAAATAGATAACAACGATTTACTTGTTCAATTTCAGCCATTGACTTTCGTCTTGCAAATGGTTATGCAGCCTTAAGAGTTAAGACAAAAAAGAGAGATATAAGAGTGACGCCAATCTCAGCTAGTGAAGAACGACAATCGACGAGATATGAGACTGATTTGTGTATTTTTGGATGAAAGTATGAAACTCAAAGGCTGGAAAACATTGTAGTTCTTTTTATAGCACTTTTTTTTTTTAAAAAAAAAAACCTTTGACTAGTCCAAATTGGGTCCCCTGTAAGTCGCCGGGTCACCGAGACCTAACCGAATCGACCGGTCCAAACCGGGTCGACTGCGTAACCGGTCCAAAGGGTAACTGAACCGAGAACCCACCTCGGGTTGACCAACCCCCCTCGGGAATAAAAAAGATTCTACTTTTCATTTACCGAGATGACTCAAGAAAGAATCCATTTTTCCCTTATGTAACTCGGGAATGTGACACTTTCCCTTTTGAGGAAAGCCCAGCCAACCGTAATGAAAGAAGAAGATTGTAAAGACCCCCTCACCAGGTAACGAGTAACGAGTTGAAAAAGAAAAACAAAGGAAAGGTTTTGTTGATGGCACAACAATTCACCTTGCAGAACCCGCAGACTGTCCTTTTTCCCCATTGTTAAAGCCCTTCTTCTTGCGGCGAGGGAAAGCGCATATCGCACCCTTACCCTTAGCTTAGGAAATCTTCCTTTGTATCTCGTTCTTGAAGAATCAAAGTGATGATGTGGCTGCCACGATGATGCTATTGATGATTCCACGTCAGCATAGTTTTGATGATAACAAACAAGTCAAAGAAGATTGCTTGAAGGTGAAGCAACATCCAAAAGAAATCAAATCAAGAAACATGCACGCCAAGCATCAAGTCAAGTTCAAGA